TGCCGTAGCTCCTAGATACATGAGTCTTCTCTACGTTTCTCTGCAGCGTGCCAGAATATTCCCAGTTGGGTAGAAGAGAACTTCATTCATGTTTGAAAGGTTTCCCAGGAAATCAAAGCATGAATGGCAGAAAGAAGTAAATACTGGGCTATTCTTTGCTTGTGTGCAAGCTATTTCCCTGGCCAGACAGGAGACCTCAACTCTACAGCCACTTTTCTGTCTTCCCAAATTTGAGCCCTACTTCAAAGTCAGATTGGCAGTTACCTTCTAAATATACCTCGTAATGGTGCAGTCAAATGGCACTGGCTGGACTACAACTGAATGAATAGGTATCACTCTTAAGTCTTCCAAATCTTGAAGATATAATGCAAGCACTGATTATGCAGGGGATGGAAAAGATGAGAAGCTGAACATGAAACCCTGAGGCAAGTCAGCATAGAGCAACTTGTTTCTCTCGTTCTTGAGTTTGAAGGGCAACATGAGGAGGTTGTGTTAACAGAGCCCAGGGCCTGGGACTCCCTGACAAGACCTAGATGGAAGACGAGGCCAAGCAGAGTATTGATGGCCTGGAAATCGCTTGATGTGAGTCTCCCAGAAGACAGAGCAGTTTCTAGAAGCACCACAGAAAGTGCCATGACCTACTTTCTAATTTGTCAAACCTATCTACAAGACAAAAAGAAAGACATTGTATTTGTTTGGTATTTTTCTTGGTGCAGGAAATAGATTAGAGTAAGAAGCAAATGAAAGTGTGTATGTGTGTGTGTGTGTGTGTGTGTGTATTAGAGATTGCCCAAAGCCACAAACATGCTAGGCAAATGTTCCACTAAGGCACTACATCCCACATGACAAGCTTATATTTTACATAGAAGTCAAGTGAGATAGAGGTCAAATCGGCTTAAGTAACACTTTGGAAGCTGAGCCAGACAAGGGATTTTTTTTTATCCTGGAAGAAGTCAGGCCAAATAGTAGGTCCTTCATAACCTGATGATGACAATAAAATCTTTCACCACTGGAACTTGTTAGGCTGAGGATATTGGTTAGATAAAACTAGGTAAAGAATGACACGGAGCCCATTCCTATGGAGGGTTACTCTCTCAGCCTAGATACAGGGGGAGGGTCTAGGTCCTGCCCCAAATGATGTGACAGACTTTGATGATCCCTCATGGAAGTCCTCACCCTACCAGGGGAGTGGATGGAGGGTGGGACGGGGAGTGAGTGGGGGGAATGGGAGAATGGGAGGGAGAGTGAACTGAGATTGGTATGTAAAATAAGATTGTGTTTAATTTAAATAAAAAATCCATAATAAAAGAATGACATTGTGCTGTAGCTCTTTTTTACATTTTGAATTTATTTACCTGTGTGAATGTTTTGTCTATATATACACGTATGTGTATCACACATGTGCCTGGTGCTTACAGTAGTCAGAAGAGGGCATTGGATCTTCTGGAACTGGAGTTTTAGACAGTTGTTAGTTACTGTAACAAGATCCTTTACAAGAGCAACCAGTGCTCTTAACCAGTGAGTCATTTCTCCATTCCCTACACTATAGTTCTTGCAGAGCACAGGCTCTCAAGTCAGGAGCGATGTGACAGTGTGATAGGTCTAGGTATGGATTTTAGCATTTACACTATCCTAATTAAATTCCAGACCGGCGCAATGACTATATCATGAACAATGACTGAAAGAATAAGGCAGAAATCAAAATACTATCATTTCTTTATATGACTTCTGGGTCACGGACACTTGAATGATCCACAAGTATAATTTGTAACTAACTATAAAGAGAACACCCTGAGACCAATCTTCAGGAAGTTCTAGTTTTCAACAAGGGGCAACTCTTTCTGAATCTCAGCCCAGAACTCTTTTGAAATACAAATATAGCCATTAAAAAATCTCTAGAATGTCCACTGATAGTTGTTATTTTATGTGGAGACGACTGGTATCTTTGACTTGGGAACTGCTGCCCAGATCTGAGCCTTTGCAAAATCATAATGATGGTGACATTTTCTGTACTTCTAATAGCTTTTTCTTGTTGGTGCCATTTATGACTCTTCCTCAGGCTCACACATTGTCCTCATGGAACCACTCATTGCTTACCTGATCTATACAGGATTGATACATTTAAACTGTCATAGTTGACTAACAGCTCAAATGACATTTGTTTAAGAACTGGGACAAAATATTAAGGAATTAAATACATGGACCTCATGGCAATAACTGACTCTGAATGCTAGCATTTTATAATAACTATGTATGTTTTCTCATTTGTACATTTTTTTCTTGTTTAGATTCAACTGGCTATTAAAGCAGACCACCTTACCAGCATCTCTTAATCCTTCATGAAGCACTGATAAAGAGCTCAAAATTTTCTGGGATAGCTCTTAGCTGCTACTCTGAAACTTTGAACTAGTATAAACACTGGATAATTTCCCAGTGGCATTTACTGACAACCAAATTCCTACCCAGGCTGAGGCAGCCTTTGATACCCTTTGAATGAGAAAGATGTGTGTCTCCAGTGGTTTATCTTTCTGAAGTCTTTCCCCTTATAACAGAGGCCTTGTAAAGGGACACTTATGAAGCAGAGATTTGTTTGTTTGTTTGCTTTGAGACAGGGCTTCTATGTAACTCTTGCTGTCCTGGAACTTGCTCTGTAGACCAGATTGGCTTGGAACTCACAGAGATCCTTCTGCCTCTGTCTCCTGAGTGCTGGGATTAAAGATGTACACCACTACCACCCTGCCGAAGTAGAGATATTACAAATGGAATGAAATCTACTTCTATTCTTTACCACTTACAAAAACTTGGGTATTTGCACAGTTTGCCCAATGTTAACATTCCTTTGGATCCATTTCCAAATGGTGTAAATAGACAACCAGTAACTTCCAGAGCAGTGGGAAGATTCAGACTGATTTGCTGCCTCTAGATGCCTGTGAGGTGGTGTAGGCCCCACCCCATTCAGGCCACCTACTTAGGCCCTTAGTATCAGGAATGAAGGTATTATCTTCAGGTGCAGGATTAGGTAGTGTTAAAACCAAACCTACTACCAGCAGGTGGTGACAAAAATGTTAGCGCTGTTGATTCTCATTCTTGCTAGAAAATGTCACCCAGCTCAATGGGGTGCACTGAAACCCTATATTAGATGACAAGAAAATTTTACCTCTTTTTTTCTGTCACTAGGAATAATCAACTGCTAGATACTTAGTGAGAAAACCACAAATGTCTTAGCAGACACATACAAAAGAAACATTTTAGATTCCATGTGTGTCTTGCCACGTGTAGAGAACAGACTAGGTGTGAGTGTAAATCATCTCAAAGTTCTTTGTTTAGTTGGATTTAAATGAACACGGGGTTGGAAGAGAAAGGGAAGTAGGGAGAAGAGGAGAGGAAGAGAGAGGGAGGGATGGAAAGAGGGAGGGAGGATGGAGGGAGGGAGAAAGACAGATAGACACAAAGACAGACAGACAATAAGAGACAAGAAATGAAGCTGAGCTATATTGTATCATTCTATTTCAACACAATGGAACAGAGTTCCAGAGCTAGGAAGGACCTTGCTGTGCTATTCTTATCTGTAGACACACAGGCTCATAGAGCTGGTTAAGAAGTACTATAAAATATATAATTCAAAGATCTCTTACTGTAACATATATTCATTACTGTTTGGTTCTGTCCATAGCAGAAATGAATAACAGATGTTCATTATTACCTGCAATATTAGAAAAATGTGGACAGTCTCTGTCTAAGCACAAATAATCATATACATATATACATATATGCATATGTAGACAGTAATTTAAGCTCAGGTGGGCTAAATGACACCTCATGACAAACTATACCAGATAAATAGCATACAGGAGAGAGAGAAGACTTAGCTTTTATCATTGTTTGCCTTTTGCATGATAGCAAAGTCTGATTCATACATAGAGGGCAACCTAGCAACTAATTGTCCAAATCTAGAGTCATTCAACAGAAGTTATCCTCAGCTAACCAGACTCAGTTGCTAATACTCTTCCTAGAAATGATAAGCAGGTTATGAGACTATAATTCAAAACTGGATATTTACTTTGGCAAAGAGAGAGAGAGAGAGAGAGAGAGAGAGAGAGAGAGAGAGAGAGAAGAGAAGAGAAGAGAAGAGGAGAGGAGAGAGAGGCAGAGTCCATAACTAATCCTGTATCCTCTACCTTCATCATTTCTAGTCTAGGCTAACAGGCAGTGATGATTGAAATAGTGAACAAAAAAAATCTGCATTGCTAGATTCAAGGTGTCACGGTGCATGCTCATAACCCCAGCACTCCAGAGACTGAGGCAAGAGGATTGGGAATTTGAGGCCAGCCTGGTCTATACAATGATGCCTGCCTTAAAAACAATAAACTAAAAAAAAAAAAAAAAAAGAAAGAAAAATGAGCTTAGTCTAAGAAGATCTGATGATAGAGTATAGTTCTCATCTCTGCTTTAGCAAAAAATAGGCCCTCTGACAAACTGAACATTATAGTGCATTTCCAGGACCTGAGATGTGGAGACAGGAGGATCAGGAATTCAGGGTCACTCTCAGCTACACAGTGAATTTAATGCCAGCTTTGGATACTATAAGACATCATATCAAAAACATCTGACTCTGAAGAGGAAGATGCTTGCAGTGTTATCCCTAGAGAAACAGATTGACTGGATTTAACCAGAATATAAGTGAGGTGCCAAATACAGTAGCCAACTGTGCATATATCCCCTGAGGTTTCCTTACTGAGGCAAAAATATTGGCTCAAATATTTACAACATTTTCAACAGATAGCAAGAAAGTCGTCAAGCCCAGTAACCCAGTGTAGATTAGTAGCTTTCTGTAGACTAAGACTGCAAACAATATTGTTCTGAAAAGAAGTCAGTTGAATAACTGACTAAGGTATATTCATTGAGGTAATAAGACTATTTCATTGAGTGTGCAATGGGCTCCACATCACTGTGACTTCTCCAGAAACCCAAGGAAGCCCCATTGTAAAGCAGCTACTCACAGCGATAAGCTGGTAGGAGTTGTTCATCATGGCAATGAGCATGTTCAGCAGCACTACTAGGGAGATCACGTTGTATGTCCCAAACATAGTAGCTCCCACAAATTCGGTGAACTCATGTCTGGCCTTCACATTGGTAACATAGAGATTTAAAAGGCCAAATACAGACCAGAAGAGTGACTGAAGGGTTTCAAAGAGCCTAAAAGAGATGCAAAAGCTGGTTAGTTCTTTGAATGAGAGTATAAGAGAGCAAATATGAGGTAGTCTGTAAGAGGAGAGTCAGATTTGGGACAGGTGGACTGCCATGCTTGTGCATTTTAGCCTTTTTCTTAACACAACAGCGCAGCCAGGACATTTCGTTTAGACACTTTGCTGTACTTCCTGGGATATTATCTCTCTCCTCTCAGTGTACTGGTAACCTAAAAATTCTCAGAGCTATTCGTGTGGGCTAATTCTTCTATCAAACCATCCTTCCCTGTTAGTTAGTAGTAGACCATGTTATCTACTACTTTCCTAATTATCTGGGGTCAACAACTTCAGACCTTAAGAATATGGAGCTTTTTTTTTTCCCCCTATACAGGGTTACTATTTCAGCCCAGATCCATGGAAGAAGGCCTAGGCCCTCCCCCAAATGATGTGACAGACTTTGAATACCCCCTATGGAAGGCCTCACTATCTTTAGGGAGTGGGTGGGGGGCGAGTTGGGGGGATTGGTGGGGGCATGGGAGGATGGGAAAGAGAGGAAATGGGGGGATTGGTATGTAAAATAAGATACCTTCTAAATAAAAAAACACTAGCAAAACTCTAAAAAATGTCTTACGTTCTGAAGTAAAATTGCTATATTCTGTAACAGAAAAAAGCAAAAGAATATGGAGCTTTGCAAATTGGAGGGAGTGGGGCTTAAGAGCACTTGCTGCTCTTCTCGAGGACCTAGATTTGGTTCTAGGATCACTCTAAACCTGTCTGTAACTCTAGCTCCAGCGAATCTGTCTCCCCTGGCCTCTACAGGCACCTGAACTCATATGTCTACCCCGACAAAAAGACACACACATCCTTACATGTCATTAAAATAATAAAAATCTTTAAAAGAAGTAATATGGAGCTTGAGCTATACTGTGCTATGTGGAAATCTCAACTGACACTTACTCCTTGAGTAAGCATAAGGGCAGGCTGTTGTCCTAGGATTGGAATACAGGGCCACATATATGCTAAATGTGCTCTCTACCACTGTGCTGTAGTCCAGATCAAAACTACCACTTTGTTGTTCTGGCAGGATTCCGATGGTACTAAGCTCAGTGGAAGAGCTTGATGAATCTCAGAATAAGAAGTTATATATTTTAGTGGTGTATACATTAAGTATTATTAAGAACTCAATATAAGCACATTTTACATGTTCTTTTTAAAAATCTTCAAAAGATCTTCTGGCTGGCCTCGAACTCATTGAGATTTGCCTGTGTCTGCCTCCTGATTACTGGGATTAAAGGCATGCAGCACCATATCCTGGCTTGTTTTACATTTTAATGAATTCATTATTATCATTACTCATAAAACTTCACCATAAAAAGCAGTAGATGTTATATTAGAATGAGGTACTAATATATAAAGTGATATGGTATTGTAAATAAATGGGAAATATAAGTGATGGGGACCCTAGGAACAGATAACAAGAGATTTTTATATGCTAACTAGAGGATTTCAATATCGACTTTTTAATAAGAAAGCAATCAATTAAAGAAAAACTATTATTATTATTGATGATCTTCCATTCAGAGATTGATTGGCTCAAGGACACTCAGCTAGTAAGTGCTGAGCCAGAATTCAAGGGCAGGTCTTTGTGACCTTGCCAAGCCATTACATCAGTCTCTATTAGATGGCTTTGCAAATTATTGCTTCCTGTTTTAGTCTCCATACGCAAACATGGAACTTTGTAATGATATACTTTTGGCATGTGGGGTTTCAGCTATCTTGCATTCAGAAATCTACTACAGCAATACTGTGCAGTTAGCTTGTGGGTAGCACCTAAGTCATTTCCCACTCACAAGGGATTGTAGAACGTAAAAAACACTACTCTAGGAAGAAATATACCTTTTCAGTTTGCTCCAAATGTATTGTTCGCCAGTTGCAAGGTAGAATCGGGAGTATCAGGAGTTCAATGTTATCCTCTACTACATAGAGATTTGGAGGCCAGCTTGGTCTACATTAGACTGTCTTAAATTGGAAAAAAGGAAAGTTATTCTACTCTTCTTTTCTGGAGTGTTGGAAATGGAACTAAGGCCTTTTACATGCTATGTGAGTCTTTTAACACTGAACTATACCCCTAGCCCAAGAATTTGTTTTCTTTAAGAAAAAAAAATCCTATCTTTTTTGGGTTGCTTTAGTTCATCTGTAATCTACATATAATAATTATACAAATTTGTGGGGTAAAGTAAAGTTTTGATCCAGGTAAATTCTGTGTGATGTCAAATCAGGTTAATGACCATCTTTACTGCCTGTAGCATCTGTCATTTCCTTGTGGTGAAACATTAAAATGTGCTCTTTTAGCCAGTTTGGAATATACATTGTCTTTATCTAGAGTCACCCTACTGAAGACAAGAATACCAGGACTTTTTACTTCTATCTTAGTGCAACACTTCCCATTGACCAAGGTTTCCCTTCTCTTCCTCCCCCTCCTACTCTTCCTGACCTTTGGTAGGTTCTACTCTACTCTAGTACTAGACTTCTAGAAACCTCCTTAAAGCTTACATTTTGTTTGATGCAAGTAAATACTAAATGATGAAGCATTTGAGAATCAACAGTAAGATTTAGTCTATAGTTTAGGGCCCAGGATGTGAGAAGCAGAATATATGAAAAGTGTTGGGATTACAGGTCTGTTACTGACTTACGTGATGCTGGGGGAAGAACACAGGGCTTTGTGTATACTAGGCACACACCTCTACCAACTGAGCCTCATGCTTATCACCTCTTCTGAATGTCCAGGAGTCTGGAAATCATGCAATAGGATGCATCACACAGCCCAGCAGAAGACTACAATAACAGGGAAGATAGGAGGTGCAGAAATCTAGCTCTGCTAAGAGGGCACAGCACAAGTGCTTTTGCCCATTAGAAGCCGGGACCACCAGGACACCAGTGATGGAGCAAAAATCTAGCACAGCAGCTGGATGCTATAAGTTAAGGGGGATGGGAGGGAAGCTGTAGACAGAATCCTTGGAACATGATTAGAACAAGAGAAGAGCCTTCAGTCAGGACTAAGCGAATAAGGCGGGAAAATGTACACTAAATGACAGCTGGAGAAATTACCACTGATTGAGTAGGAATAGATGCCAGTAAGTGGCCATTGTCTGGTGGAAGGAAGGTGGCACTGGCCTGCTTCGTAACATAACTTTATCCACTTCAGCACTATATCTATGACTATTCTATCTTTGTGTAACAAGTTTTTTTTTCTTTCTGTTGAAACAGAGCCTCATGATATCACTCAGGATGGCATGGAGCTAACTAGGAAGTCTAGGGGGGTCTTTCTTTCTTTCTTTTTTTTTTTTTTTTTTTTTTTTTTTGAGACGTGGTTTCTCTGTGGCTTTGGAAGCTGTCCTGGAACTCACTCTGTAGACCAGGCTGGCCTCGAACTCACAGAGATCCACCTGCCTCTGCCTCCCCAGCACTGGGATTAAAGGCGTGCACCACCACTGCCTATCTAGTCTTAAACTCACTATCCTCCTGCCCAAGCTTTCTAAGTGCTGGGGCGGAAGGTATGCACCACCATGCTTGCTCCACAACCAACCTTATATAGCTCCACAGAATCAGTTATGGTCCCATTTCTCTGGACACAAGTGCAGATTGGAGCCTGTATGTCTGGATTGGTATCATGGCTCTGCCAATTAGGGTTTATGCAACTGGCAGCAGCCTGCTTAATTGCTTTTGATCTTAGTTTCTTCCTCTACACAATGGGTAAGCTGACTACCTCACACTAGGGAGGGAGGGGCAAGTGTGTTTGTTCACATACACATGATTTATAAGAGTACCTGGACCTCAGAACACTCTATGATCTTAGCTATTTTTATGATGACTGTTAAGCTGTCTATCTTCATATTCCTATGTTCCTTGTAGCTTTTTGGGTCTTTGTAGATTGTTATTCATTTGTGTGTCCAGTGCTTCATAGTTGTGACTACAATACATCCAACTTTTAATGTCTTACGGTTTTTATACTGGCCAGTGAGATGGCTCAGCTAGTTAAAGTACTTGCCATCAAACCTGATTACCAGAGTTAGACCCTCAGGTCACACAAGGCGGGGAGAGAGAAAGCCACTCTTGTGAGTTGTCCTTTTCCTTCTATGGTACATGTTCACCATATATATATGATGAAAACATGAATAAAATAAATTTTACAAATTTTGGATATGGACACCTTTCATGTACAATCTCCATATGTATCATTTTAATAGCTGCCCAAAATTCCACCTAGCAAAGACAAAGGCTGACAAAATTACCAGTGCTGTGGGTGAAAAATCAATGGCATGCTTCATAGGTTTTCAGATGAGAGAGGACTGAGAAGGCTAGCTAGTATATTGAAAGGAAGCATCAAGATTAAGAACGAAAGTTCTCCTCTGACCTCTGCACTCATGCTATGGTATATGTGCCCCAGTGCAAAATGTAGTAAAAGAAGATTCAGAATTATTTCAACAGCGTGAAGCAATGGGCGGAAACTGGCATGCGGCATATAATAGGGATCCATGTATTCTAAGTGCTGAAGGAGAGCAATAGGGAAAAAAGCCAGGGGGTTTGGCTAAAAGCAAGTTTAAAGTGATCAGTAGAGTGGCATAGCTGGACAGACAACCACCCAAGGGTAGAAACAGAGGCACGTGATCTACAATTAACAATAGGATCGCTTCACATCCACTCATGTTGCCAATGACTTTCTTGCAGAATTGGTGACTCTAAATAAGGTCACTAGACTCACCAATGTTTATATTCTGGTGATACCGTACAATATTTATATGCGATGTTACCACTGGGAAGCATCAGATAAAAGCTCCACAGATTTCTCTTATATTCTTTCTTACGGTGGCATGCATGTACATCTATAATTATCTCCAGATTCAAAATGATAGTTGTTACCAGTCTTCATTGTTTCAATTATTTGGTGGATATTTTGAATACCTCTATGTTCCGGGTGCCTAGTACACACCTAGTTACAATGAGAGTATCAGTTTGGTGGAGATAGAGATAGATGACTAAAATGAGAAGGTTATATATGACAGTGGACACATGTTCACAGTACTGTAGGGCAACAGAGGAAATCCACAACTGGAAGGGGGTAAGAAAAGGCTTTAGAACAGATGACACTGCTGGATTCTAGAAGGCTGGAGAAGACTTTGCCAAACTGGCTAGGCACGTGTGATGGCTAATCTTGGTTGTCAACTTGACTCACCTGGGAAGAGGGAGCCTCAACTAAAGAATTGCCTCCATCAAATTGGCCTGTGGGTTTGACTGTGAGGACATTTTATTGATTGTCAATTAATGAAGGAAGTTCTAGCCCACTGTGTGCAGTGTCATCCCTAGGCAGGTGGGCCTAGGCTGTTTAAGAGGAGTAAGTAGCGTTCTTCCATGGTCTCTACTTCCTGCCTCCATGTTCCTCCCTTGAGTTCCTGCACGGACTTCCCACAATGATGAACTATGACTTCAACGTGTGAGCTGTTATAAAGCTTTCCTTCTCCCAGCTGCTTTTGGTCAGAGCCACTTATTATTACAGCAACAGAAATCTAACTTGGATCGTGGGGACAGGCATTCCAGGCAGAGGGAGTAATGTATCGTGCACAAGACCCATGCAACTGAGACAAGAAGCTTTTGTGTATTTGGGGAGCAGAAAAGATTGACTATGAAGGAAAAGAGTGAAGGCCTGTAGAGGCATGCTGCAAATTTCCAAGATCCTATATATTATGGTAAAGAGGTTGGATTTACAGAGAAGAATAGCATACACTGGATAGGCATGGAGCCAGGGGGTGATGATATTGGGATTTTGAAAAAATTTCCACACGGTGTGGAAGAGATTATTATGAGGTGGAGATAAGACTGCAAGCAGGAGTTCAGTTAAGAGGCCGTTTCTGGAATTCTTAGGACTTAGACCTGAACCTAAACAACGTTTCTTTCTATCTCTATGTCTCTGTGTGTCTGCCTGTCTACCACTCCCACCTCTACCTATGTGTGTGTGTGTGTGTGTGTGTGTGTGTGTGTGTGTGTGTGTGTTTGTGTTTGTGTTTTGCAGGACCTCTAGAAAGTACAACTGACTGGGTGAGTTGAAACACTGGATATTTCATGAAGAATAGTGAGAATAGTCTAAGAGTGTCAGATGACTGCTAGGATTCTGGCTGTTGTCATTTAATGAGCTGAGAAATTAAAGGGAAAATAAGTTAGAGTAACAATATGGAGATAAGTGATTTAGTTGTGGACAGTCATTGCCTTGAGTATCCTGTGGGATAAAGAGCCAGGGGTTTTCAGGAGGCATCTGTAGATGAGTACCTGGACCACTGAAAACAGATGCAGGACTTTCAGGTTAGCATCTTTTACACTATCACTCTATAACCCTCACAAAATCTATGGCCAGAGAGTGATGGTGCCTTCCCAACTGTCTCTGCCAAGAGCAGATGAAGGCCCAGTATTCACAATGTGGAATCTGGAGCTCAAATCAACAACAGTGTTGCCACGCAGTTGTCAGCAAGTACATCATGTTCCTTACAAAATACATTTCAAGGGAAAAGAACTTTCACCACATTTTAAAGAACAATAGCAATGGCATTCTTGGAGAATCATATGGAAGAGAAAAAGTCGGGCAGACATCACACTTTTCATGAGGTATCTAAACAACCTCACATTCCCCTTTTGTAACAAACTGTCTTTCTGATGTTCTGGCTGAGCAGCCTGCATTTTAATAAGTATTATTATTAATGCCAAAGTCAAAATGTTTAAAAGAAAACACATTTGAATAGGCCTCTATGGAGGAAACCAATCTGATGACAGAGAGTAATGTTGAAGTGACATTATGGCCAATTTAGGTCCAACATGACAATGTGTCTTCATACTTGATACCTCAGAGATATAATTTCATGTAGGCAGATTCCCTTTCTCTGCTAAGCAAATGAGGAGAACAACAGGTTTGTTGCCTACAGGAGTATTAATAATGATTACAAACTTGCAGGGAGGCATTTCATTCATTTTCTTGGCAGAGCTCATATGGATGGGGAATTGGTAAAGACCTGGTGTCCTGGAAAGCACCTTGCTTTCAATTGCTCTTTCCTTTGGAACATTTTTATGGGAATGATGATGTCTCTTGGTGCAAATTACATGGCAGAATTGCTTTTTCTAATAAAACTAGGTTGATATGAGTCCTGTCTAGAGCCATGCAGGAGAAGAAGGCAAAGTCCCCAGTGAAGAAGCACCATTAAGGTGCAGTCTATGGGGCCTCTGGGAATGGAACAACATTTATACCTAGTGTATGAATAGACACTGGGAGCCCATTATTCCACACAGAGGGAGACTCTCTCAGCCTAGACACACAGGGGAGGGCCTAGGCCCTGCCCCAAATGATGTGACAGACTTCGATGATCCCCCATAGAAGGCCTCACCCTTTCTATGAAGCAGAAGAGGGGTGGAGGGGGGGAACATGGGAGAATGGGAGGGAGATGGAACTGGGATTGATATATAAAATAAGGTTGTTTCTAATTTAAATTAAAAAAACTGAAAAACCATACCTTTGCAAAACTAGGTGTAATGGTGAAAACCTGTACTCCTAGCACTTGGGAAATGATAACAGGAAGACCAGAAATTCAAGGTCATCCTCTGCTACATAGGAAGTTCAAAACCAGCCTGGAATAATATGAAAGCTTGCCACCAAACAAGAGCAGTAACAGCACTGACACCCTTCATTTCTAGCCTTTTGTTGTTCTTGAGATAGAATGTTGCTATGTAATGTAGTGTGGGATCAAATTTGTTTTTTTTCCCCTTTTTTAAATTTAAATTGGAAACAAGGTTGTTTTACATGCTAATCCCAGTTCCCTAATCCCTCCCATCCTCCCCTATCACCTCCACCAAACCCCAGCCCATCCCCGTTTGTAATACTACCTCATCCTGGGACTGACAAGATTCTAGGCATAAGTTGCCATCTTTGACCTGGTCTTAGTTACTAAAGATTTTCTAGAATGTCAAAGTCCACTGAACTGACTCAAAGAGTTAAGGAAGGGGCCAGCAAGATGCCTCAGTGAGTAAAACTGCTGGTCACCAAGCCTGATGACCTGAGTTTGAATCCCAGAACTCATATAGTGGAAGAAGAAACCAATGTCTAGAAGGATGCAGTGTCATGTGTCATATATGTGAGCTCTCTCTCTCTCTCTCTCTCTCTCTCTCTCTCACACACACACACACACACACACACAGAAATAAATATTTAAAGAACCCATAAATTCACTGGACTGTTATTTGGCTACAAAACGTTGAAATTCTGATATGTAGAAACATAAACTAATGCAAAGGATATTAATGTTAATGAAATAAGCCAGCCATACAAAGACTATATGATCTCATCGGTTTATGGAACATAAAAAGAACTGATATTCTAGAAGTACAGAATAGAATGGTAGTTATTGGAGCCTGAGGAAGGGTGGAAAGGGGGTGGGATGGGAGAGGTTGGCCAACAAAAACAATGTTGCTGTTGGATAGGAGCAAGAAGTTCTGGTGATCTGTTACCCAACAGGGAGGACCACAGATGAGAACAGCACATTGTACATTTTAAACTGGCTAGAACAGATTCCGTATGTTTCACTACAAAGGAATGAGAAATACTTGAGTTGATATGGATGCTAATTATCCAGATTTGATCGGTGTACAGTGTGTATTCTTGTATCATAACTTCACTTTGTACTTCCAAGATTTGTATAATTATTATATGTGAGTTACTTTTTTAAAACCAAAAATTGTAAACGATGAATTATTATTTTAATGATTGGGAATCACGAACAAGCTTTGGGTCTCCATAATGGATGTTGGGATGGACAAAGTGAAGGACACTAAAGCCCAGCGTAGCTTCTAACCTAAGAAATTGCATGAATTTTCCTTCCTTCCTTCCTTCCTTCCTTCCTTCCTTCCTTCCTTCCTTCCTTCCTTTCTGCCCTCTTTCCTTCTTTCCCTCCTTCCTGCCCTCCTTCCTTCCTTCCCTCCTTCCCTCCCTCCTCCCTTCCTTCTTTCCTTCCTTCTGCCCTCCCTCCCTTCTCTCCACTCTCTTCCCTTTTTGCTTTTGCTCTTTTTAGATAGGGTCTCACTGTATAGGTCAGGCTATACTCCAGCTCATCAACCTCCTGCCACAGCTTCCCGAGTGTGTTACAACATCTAGCTGCTTCTTTTTTTGTTCCCCTCTTCTCAATTTAAACTATCATTCTAGGGAGTGAAAAAATTCCGAAGGAGGTCTTCCCAGTAAGAAGGAAAGGCACAGACGTTACCTGCCCCAAGACTGACCTCTGGACAAAGCGATAAACTTCCTTCTACACCCAAAATGGGAGCAGAGACATTGCCAATCAATTCCCACCTCGGGCCCTAAATTGGTCTAGTAGGCTAGTTGACTGTAATCTTGCCTCAAGCCTGTCAACTCTATCCTAGTGCTTTGAGCTTACAGTAGTCAAGTTAATATTGTGTCAGGGCTCCCTGGAAATAGTTTTGTGCTTTCCCTTCCTTTGTGGCTGCCACTCTTTTGAATGTAACAGAGAGTACTCAGAACTACTTTTTTATTTTTTTAATGGAGTCACTCCAAGGCTCTCTCTCTGTCTCTGTCAAATCACTCATTCTCCTAATGCTATTTTCCTAGTACTCCATGTTGAAGGAAGAACTTTCTTCTACCCCAGACCCTTTGGGAGAGCTTTGCTTTTCCATCAAGGGATACTGATGAAGCTGTGCATGGAAAACAGAACAAAAAGCAAGGCAGAAAGAAGGTAAAATAAAGAGAGATGTGAGTCTTACGTGGAGAAGGCGTTGTTCTGTTTTTCACACCGGATCCCCTTGCAGTTGTTAGGTTCATCAATAGCTCTGGTCTCATAGTAAAAATAAAGCTGGTTCAATCCGTTGGCAAAAGCTAGCAGTACTAGGCAGTAGATAAAGAGGAATTTGAGTATATCAAGCAGCATGCGTCCCAAAGAGATCTGCAGAGGCCCTAAGTGGGAGTTGGCTGTGAACAAGGATATGAGACGCAAGGAACTTAAAATGTTGGATATTGCGAAGAGCGCCTCTGCAATCAGAGTCGGGTGCCACATTTCCCATTCCTCCCTTGGACGAGAACCATTATACTGAAAAAGAAAAAAAAAAAAAGAAAGAAAGAAAGAAAAAAGAAAAACAACAGAAGTGTACAATATGAGAAGTACAGTGAGCATTTCCAAATTTTCCCCCTTTGTACCTTTCCACACACAAAATATGCACCCAACACTCAGCTTACATAAAATCCCCCCCCCCCCCGTGCATGGCACTATTTGTTTGTCTTTTTGCCCCATTCAATCAGTACCTGGTGCTAATAACTGTCTCCCTCCCACTCTTAGCCAAATATATATCAAGCGTATATGCATAGCAGAAGGAATTTCAAAGCCATCATCTGCAGCAGCCACCTGGGGTTTATCAACAGACATTTCTAACTGTGAGTTTACCAGATTGTTGTTGAGTGTTGCTGAAAAGGAACCATTGGGGTGTTCAGGCTAGTAGGGACCAAGTATTCCACTTCCAGGTGAGATTTCAATTCAGATCTACACTCCCCCCACCACTGGTTTTGAAAGAAATGGCCAATTTGAAGGCACTGAAGGACAATAGATAGACACACGCTCCTCTGTGTTCGTTCTCCAGGCTCTGCTGCCTACAGTTTAGGGCTGATAGAGAGAGTCCTGAGGGAGCCTTTCTTCAGAGCTTCCTGCTGCATTTTTAGCAGTCTGTAATATATTCTACACCATTGCAAATGGCATGTCAACCTTCCAGGTAGCAAATTTAGTAATTCCACATAGCAGCATATGGATGTATTTTGCTGTTTCTTTAACAACCTTACAAGTTAGAAAGGCCTTCCAGTGCAAATGAAGAACCAGGAAGTTGAAGGAGAGGGACTAGCTAGTATTTATAGGACTGGTTGCCCATTTCCAGCCTCTTGAAGGCCTCTATCTTTTGGAATGTTGGGAATAGCCTCATGGAAAAGTGTGAGAAGATGAGTCCTGACTTCAGTTTGGAAATTGTCATTTAAAACTGCCATAAACTGACTTTTTGGAGCCCAGTTTCAACCTAGTCCTGCCCCAAAAGATGTGACAGACTTTGATGATCACCCATGGGAGGCCTCATCCTCTCTGAGGAGTGGATGGGGGTGGGGTGGGATGGGGAGATGGTGGGGGGAATGGGAGGGTGGGAGGAAGAGGAAACTGAGATTGGTATGTAAAATAAGATTGTTTTTAATTAAAAAAAATTTAAAACCTGCCTGTAACTTATACCTTCACAATAAAAGAAGGGTAATGCCATTCCTACCTACTGTATTTATGTGCATGAGTCTCTGTACTCTATAAGGGATGATGGTATGGAAATATACGGGGCTAATTGTTAACCTTCCCAAGGACAGAAGTGGGTTTTGCCTGGAATTCAATCTGAAGCACCATTACTTTATACTCTCATTTAAACACCCCAAATTGTTGAGGAATAAATGTAGACGACATTCCTGAGAAAATGTGTTGGGGACCAAATTATTGTGTAGGTATTTCTCAAGTGTGCTTTCACTTCCAACAACCAATAAAACGGATGGTGTTAAAATCACATGTGTGCGACCAATATTCTTCAGTGTCAGAGAGCATGTAACACACATATGCTTCTATTTTGCACAGACTTTTTGGTGGCTGATCAGTTTTGTGTAATCTTAGTCAAATTTCCCCCATTTTCCTTCAAAGCAAGCAAACAAACAAACAAACAAACAAACAAAAAAAACAGTTGTTGCATCGCTGTGAGCAAGTGGGCGGTATGCCGGTCTTACAAATGGAGGAACTGAAATCCACAGAGGCAGACTGACTTGTTAAAGATCACACAGCAAATTTGGTGGTAGGGCCAGAGCTCAAGGTCTCTCGACACTAAGTCTAGCACTGTTTCCATGAAATATCACTCACATGGGGGTTGATCTCACAACCAAGATGTTACCAGTGTTATACGTTTTGAGATCTATGTGAGAGATGACAGTTCTTTGCTGACAACCAAGCAGAATCTATATGCACAGTTTATAATTTATTTTACTTTTATTCTGTCTCTCCACCTCAGGGAAGTCTGTTACCCACATGATGGTGAATCCGGATGTGCAGAATACTCAGAAGTATGAAAAACAATTCTCCTGGCACACCTCTGGAGAACAGCCTCTTAGCAGGTGGGTGATGGGAAATTAGCTCAGAGTTCTTCTAGCATAGATGTCAACACCCTTTATTATTATTATTTTTTTTTGGTCAAGTGTCAGTGCATAGTTTTGGCTTTGTCAGCTGTGGGTCTCTGTCACAACTTAACACTTACTTCCTTTGTAGCACTAAAGTTGCCAAAGACAGTACATAAACAAATGTATGTGACAGTGAGCCAAATTTGGTTCATAGACCATAGCTTAATAACCCATGATCTAATATTGTAAGTTTGAAACTGTATTTCTTAGAATCTTAGGGTTTAGTGGAGGCATCTACCAACCACTGTGGTAGCCAAAGAAGACTAGATGATACATTCCTTATGCTAAACTTAGCCCTTTGGGTTATTTTATATACTGCAGTTCTGTGTACATCTGTGCTTGCTGATATTTCCTAGGAACACAAAGTTTGAAAATCACTAATGGAGTTTAATTTGCTTATTTATCAGAGACAGGACTGAGGCTCTGAGAGGGAGAGGGATTGGCTGGTGGTGATCTAGCTCACAAGTGTGAATAGGGATCAAATGCATGTGTACAGAAGCTAGACATCTGATCCTGGGAAGTAAATGACTTTTCTTATATTCTTTGAGATGGATTGCAGTTTGAAACTTGGCCTCACTCTCTTTTTCCAAAGAGGTGTGGATTACATTTTGTTAGCCCAAAAGCAAAATCTGTAGAGGAATAGTCTAACATAAGGACTTGATGATGTTATGAACATGAAGATGTGATTGTGTCTATAGTAAAGTAAATGTTTAAGAAATGTCTACAACTCCAGATTCAGTCTGTGTATGGATCAGGGTGGCAGAGGGATAGACCTAAATGGTGTTCTAGAAAATGAAATGCGGACTAGTCTCCATTTGAAGGGTTGTCCATGGACACTGAGGGTCAAGCATATGTGTAGTTTGGGTTACTTTGGTGAGTGTTTTTTGGTTCTTGATGTTTTAAACCTTGTGAGGTGAAGTACATATTGTTAATGAATTTTTTCATTCTAATAAATGAAGGAAATCTGGATGTGAGAAACTGGTTTGGTGGGTAAAGTGCTTACTGTGAAAGCAAGAGAACCCAAGTTCAGATTGCTAGCACTCATTTAAAGTCAGTTGCTGTGGTGCTCACTTCTTGGGAGGAGGGTGGAAACAGGTATATCCCAGGGGCTTGCTGGCCAACTTGTCTAATGGAAATGGTGAGTTCCAGGTTCAGTGAGACACCCTGTCTCAAAAATTAAGCTGGAGAGCCATTGAAGAAGATATTCAACAACACCCATTCATAAATGCACACACCACACACACACTTAACATAAATTAATGAATTGAAGAATTTTAAAATGCCAATTCATCTTATTTCAATTCTGTATTGCCTTCAAAAAGTGATTTGAAATGTTCCAAGGGGCTTGTGGGGTTTTTAGTGACTAACCCTCTCTCTCTCTCTCTCTCTCTCTCTCTCTCTCTCTCTCTCTCTCTCTCTCTCTGGAGAAAGGGTTTCTCTGTGTAGTTCTGGCTGTCCTAGAACTCACTCTGTAGACCAGGCAGGCTGGCATCAAACTCATGGAGATCCTCCTGCCTCTGCCTCCTGAGCACTGGGATTAAAGTTATGTGCCACCACTACCAGGCTTGACTTTAGTCTTAATAGTTGTCTCATTGTGCTTGGGGAATATCTAAACTGGTTGCGGATGAGAGGACCATACTCTTCTCACAAGTTCTCATTTAAAACATCCAAATTCTTGGGGTTGAAGAGATGGATCAGTGGTTAAGATTACTTGCTCTTTTAGAGAATCTGCCTTCAATTCCCAACACTCACATAATGGCTCATAGCTAACTGCCTGTAACTCCAAATTTAGTCTTTGTGGTCACTAAACATATTTACACAAAACATGCATACACACAAATATGTTTTAAAAATCCAAATACTAGCCAGACATGGTGGCTCATGCCTTTACTCCCAGCATCCAGTAGGCAGAGGCAGAGGCAGAGGCAGAGGCCAGAGGCCAGAGGCCAGAGGGCAGAGGGCAGAGGGCAGAGGGCAGAGGGCAGAGGATCTATCTGAGTTTGAGGCCAGCCTGGTCTACAGAGCTAGTTTCAGGACAGTCAGGGCTATTACAGAGAAAAATTCCTGTCTTGAAAAAAAATTTAAATTCTGCATGTGACATGTCTTATTTATGTTTCCTTAGAGTGGTAAGAGGCAGAATTTATGAGCTTAGTGGAATGGGTTTATTTATACTTTGTGATGGAGAAGTAGTTAGCTCCTTGGAAACCTCACCAGTGAAAATGGGAAGATCATAGGATTAACTGATGTTCAGCATCTGTAGACATGTTGTAATACCCCAGATAGAAATACATTTATTTTCATCATGTAGTCTAATCTTACTAGGTTAAACAAAACCTAGTAATTTCAAGATTGATAAATTTTGGTTTCTCTACTTCTAGAGGAGAATTAAAAATTTTAATATTTTTATTAATTTTATACATGCATACAATGCATTTTTAAAAGGAAAACTGTGTTACTTAACTATCGGAATGCCCAAGTTCCATGAATTAACCCAAGCAGGTTAACCAGGGAGTCAACATTTCCTTCACCAGTTTTTTTTTTTTTCTAAGAAATTTGTAAGAATGTGTTAAATGATCACCACACGCATAAGGCATACTCTTGGGCTCCTTTCAAAAATGTTTCATGAATGCATTCAATATTCATGCTCTATATAACTCTCAAGGTCTTGCAATTTATGCAATATGCATATTAGGTATATAAAAATAAACTAAGTTGTTGGAGACTTGGGGGACAGCCATATTCCCATTCTAAAAGTCCTCAAAGTGCAATTTAATACCAAAAGCATGACTGACTAGACATCTTGGGGCATGAATTGTTGGCCTTTCCTCTTTGCAGGGGGGGGCAGAGGGCAGGGAACTTCACTCTGGCTAGAAGAAGCACAGCTACACATTCTATATTAAGTACCAGACCTGAACTCAAACCTGTGATTACCCCAAATATAGGGGCCTGTGGAGAGGTGCCTGCAACTTTCCTTCACACTTGTCTCATTTGGAGAAGGTCATCTTATATGGCTTGTATTTCTGTGTATGAGCAAACCAGATTCTACCCACTTATGGATCCCATTCAAAATTGAAATTATGCACATTTTAAAATGATTTTCAGGACAATTTAAGGTGCTTGTGTATGGGGAAAGGATCAAAGTGATGGTGTGTGCACAGTGTATACATTTTCTGAACTGGTAGAGCGATGTAGGTTGAGCAATACTTAAAAATCTGGGTATGTAACTGAATGGTTATCGTGGCAGAAGAAATAATGAAGAAAGACAAGGCTACTGTAGACCTTTGTGTCACACAGCTTCCGGAGTCCTGCTGCGTGTCATATGAAGAATGGCAATGGAAGTGGTGATGTTTTGCTTTGTGAAACAATGACTCAGAAGGTAAAGGAGAGCTGACACTACCTTTACCAGAAGAGTTACTACAGAAAGGAAGCAGTTTTGTTCTATATGTCACCACAGTAGGTATGGCGTGGGAAAATATTAATTAAATATGCAATAACTGCTTTTTTGGAGGTAATGGATTTAGTGAATTTCCTATCCCTACCCTGTGCTGCATCAGAGTGCCATGTTCTTCAAAAGAACATGATCAATGTTTAAGCATAGAAGAGTGAAGACACCTCTACCCTACAAGTCTGAGAAGCTTAAGTGTTCATTGGAACAATGCTCTCCACTGGGTTTTCTTAAGGAGACACTGCTTACAGACTATTGAAAGAGCCCCTGTGGTATTTTATAATGTTGATGGAACATTTATTCATTTCCCCCATAAACTCTTCCTGTTCCCAGTTCAAAATGTTATTGACATAACCCATCCAAAATAATTGAGGAAGGAAAATCCTATGCATCCCATTTTACCTTGACATAGGCCACAATCTTCAAGGAAATAGTTGCCAGGTAGAGGGAGTTCATTGCAAAATCCATTAGGTTCCACCAGTCATGGATGTATTCAGTGAATCCACCATCCCACATTTCCTTTATCTCCCCCCAAATGAAACCTGAAGAATGAAAGCAAGAAGTTTATTACTATATCAAGGCAGTGTTGAATATCACAACAGGAGTCCCCAAATGAATAAAGAGAAGATTCATGAATGAACTTGGCTGAGTGGGTAAGACTCTAAGAGGTGGAGGTCACTTAGTTCTCTTTTCTTGGCTACCCAACCTCCCAATTTTGAATTTCTCAAATCTAGTATGTTTTTCATTTTTCTGGGCACTCTTCCCTTTTATTTTTCAAAATGTACATACGAAGTATTAGGTTTCATTATGGCACTTTGAAACGTAAAGGGCAATTTGCTTTTGTTGTCCCTAATCCCTTTTCTCACCCACCTCTCTTCTTTTGCCAATCTACCCCTGGTAGCCTTCTTTCCACTTTCATGTCACATGTATTCTATGTCCTTCTCCTCAATACCCCATTTCTCTCTTTCATGATCTTCCTTCTATTTTTGACCTATATTCACACTCACACTCATATATTTATCTAGCATTACAAATAAGGGTCTGCATATAAGAGAACATGGGGTATTTGTCTTAGTCTTGGCGGCCTCATTTAATACAATATTTTCTGGGTCCACCCATTTCCCTATATATATTTTACAACCTTATTCTTTACACCTAAATAAACTCCCATTGTGTATTTGTACCCTGTTTTCATTATCCTTTCATCTGTTGATGGGCATCTAGGCTGGTCCCATTTCCTTACTATTGTCAGTAGTGCAGTAATAAACATAGAGGTACAAGTGTCTCTATGGCAGAACAGTGGGCCCTTTGGGTACCTGAGCCAGGAATAGTATAGTTTTATGAGAAACCACCACACTGACTTCCACATTGATAGCTTAAGTCTCTCCCCAGCAGCCAATGAGACTTCTTCTTTTCCTATACCCTTGCCGGTACATGGCATCACTTACTTTTTTGATGATAGCCATTATGACTAGAATGAGAGAAAATTTCAAAGTAGTTTTAATTTTAATTTCCCTGATGGCAAAGGAGGATGAATATTTCCTAAAATATTTACTGTTCACTTCGTCTGTCTTAACTGGATGCTATTGCAATTTGTTTTAAATTTTATTTTAGCTACTGAAATTATAGGCACTGTGTTGTACATTTTTTCCCATTTTGGAATATGAAAAATTGACTTCACCAGTATTATTCCATGGTTCTTACTTTCCATTGGGTGCTAAGGAGAAAAGTTCTCTGTTTTCTTCTCATTATATTTAGGTTTTTTTTTTTGTGGAATTTTGCCTGATGATAGAGATGTTTCAGTAAAAGTATGTGGCTTTGGTCAAGTCTGTCACTTTCCCGACTTTACACATGAACCCCTTAGGGAATGTTGTTAACTTCCAGACCTGGAGTAACCCTTAAGATGTATCTGCTAAAATCACAAGTAATTCTCATAATGCTAGCCTTGGGTTCATAGATTCGGTGATAAAAACTTAGAAGATGGCATTTATGGAAAGAGCCCAATGACATTTAATGATGTCTAGAGACTACACGTAAAGCAGATCAACTTTACCATAACCAGTGTGAATTTCCCTGGTTTCTCTGCTGACTGTGGGATCATTATCTAAATAGGACATGGAACCTGAACAGGTGCTAGGATTATATGAACTAGACACAGACACAAGAATTTAGCAGAATACATGTGCCATCTAGTTATGGGAAAGGGTGCTTTAAAAACATGCTCAGAAAAGGGGTCAAGACCATGCTGGAAAACCCACAGAAACAGCTGACCTGAGCAAGTGGGAGCTTATGAATCCTAGTCTGACAGCTGGGAAACCAGCATAAGACTGAACCAGGTACCCTGAATATGGGTGTTAGTTTGGGGCCTGGGCAGTCTATGGGGCCTCTGGCAGTGGAATCAGTATTTATCCCTAGTGTATGAATGGACTTTGAGAGTCCATTCCCTATGGAGGGATACTTTCTCAGCCTAGATACAAAGGGGAATGGCCTTGGTCCTGTCCCAAATGATGTGACATGATGGGAGATGTCATTATGTATATATGTTTCTCATACTGGTTAATAAATAAAGCACTGTTAAAGGAATATAGGAGGGAATAGGAGACAAGGAGGAAAGAGGAAGTAGAAAGGAGGCGTCAAGATGGAGAGTCTGGAGAATGCAGAACCATCAGCTGCCTCTCCCTGGTAAGACCACGTGGAAATACATAGAAATGGGTTAATAATTAAGACAGAGCTAACCGATAAGAAACAGGTAACTGGCCAACAGCATTATATCTATACAGAGTCTCTGTGCATTATTTGGGGCTGGCGTGGCGACGGGACCAGACCAGCGGCAGGTGGTGACACACTTTGATGATCCCCCATGGGAGGCCTCACCTTTCCTGGGGAGTGGATGGGGGGGTAGGATGGGGAGCTGGTGAGGAGAATGGGAAGTTGGGAGGGAGAGGAAACTGGGATTGGCATGTAAAATAAGATTGTTTAAAATAAAAATTAATTAAAAAAGAGTGCTCAGTGCTTGCCTTGTATAGTTTACCTGAAGCCCATATGGACTGACACAAAGCTTTCTCCCCTAAACCAACTAACAGCCATTTTCTTCCATCCTGGAAGATGTTAGGTGAGCAGATGCAACCCCTGAGAAAATGCCTTGTTTACAGCGGCCCATGAATAATTGAGTGATCAAAACCTAGGATAGAAGAAACCACATTTCTTAGATTCTCAACAAAGGCCCATTGGAGGGGTCCTAGTTCAGAGCTACTCTGAGTACATGTTCCAGTATTATGTTTAAAGGAGAACTAGAAGATAGTCTAGTCATTATTGTTGTTCGGTTTTACACACCTAGAACCCAAGGCAGTATCATCCATTCCACAACAGTTGGGGGAGGTCCTTGTACATGGAGGTCTGTCCTGACGATATGCTGAGAAGCCAGGAGAAGCATGAAGAGGAAGGTCAGATAGGAAGCTGTATGGCAGATGAACTTGATAAAGGGCTTCTTGATGAACAGCCCAAGGTTGCTTCTGGGTGAGATCAGATAGGCTATAGACAGCATAGGAAACAGGAAGCCAATAGTCATACAGGTCAGAAGCTTGACTACCCAGTGTTTTCTTCGCCATCCAGGGAAGCCATCATACCACAAGGTGGCAAGCAACTGTTGACAATTTGGCTGAGCAACAAACTGGGAAAAGAAAAGAACAAATTAGGCACCTTAGCTGTCTGGGGGGGGGGAAGTTAGAGTTCTTAATACTTCTATTCACAGGCTTCTCCAGCAAGAGACTATGTAACTAATCGACGCAGGATGCTGAGAATCATTAAAAGCACATTGAAAAATTTAGGTCCTCAGGTCCATTCCTGATGGACTGAGACTTCTTAACGTATGGAGGGATAGAGTCTGGACATCAGTTTTCCTAGTTCTCCTGGGAATATACATGCCTCTCAGCTGAGAATCATGAGGATTTTTATTTCAGACTGATTTGCTTCTACTCATTCCCGTGCAGTCACCATCAAGTGTACAGTTGGTTTGGGGAAACACAAACTGCCAGAGAATAAACCATGCCTGTGGCCATGGTTTGAAATGGAAATTAGTCCCTTTTTGATTTTGTCTTTTTCCCATTTTGTTTTGAGTATCAATTGGCTGGTTTACAGTAAATCATGTTGCTTCTTTGCTATCTATTTTATACCCTTTCTAGCCTAGACATAAAACACAGGCAAAATATTTGGGGGCCAACATTGTAATATTGTATACTAACCCAGCTGGGATTTGACTTAAGGCAATTTACAAAGTGTCAGTGATTAATAATTAAGGAATAATCAGCAATGCAAGTCACTCTCCAGCTGCCACATCCTGGTAAGTGACTCAATAGGGAGCTCAGCTGTCAACCATGATTTGAAATGCTGCCTACATTTGACTACTCAAGCTTCCTGGGGGACAGATTAACATAGCTACACCATGTAGCATACTAGCAGAAAGGACAGAAACCTGTTCCATCATTTACCCAACACCTAAGGCAATCTATCCCAACTTTTCTATTACATTTACAGCAATCAGAAATTCTCAATTGAATCATTCTTTTCCTTGAGCACAAGGGTAGACTATTTCTCAGCATCCCTGGTCATGCGATTAAGTTCTCATTAATGGAATAGGAATAGAAATGATGTGTGACAGTCAAAGATTTGGCCCATTGAAGTTTTCCATGTGTATTCCTCTGTGGCTTTACCCCATTTGGGATGATTTTGTGAGCCCATCTCCCTCAATATCCATCAGGAAGAGAACTATCCTGCTGAATAAGAATATTTATATTGAAACATTACATGTATGAGAATATTCTATTGTGTTTACGCCATCATATATTTTCAGGTTTAAAGCAGATAAAAATTATGAAACTATGAAAAACAATCTGTATGACTGAATAGCTGGCTCAGTGTTTAAGGGCACTTGTTGCTCTTGCGGAGGATATGGACTCAGTTCCAAGCACCAACAAGGCAGCTCACAAGCATTTGTAACACTCCAGTTCCAGGGGATCCAGTATCCTCTTCTCACCTCTGTGGGCACCAGGTACATGTGTGACACAACTACATACACAAAGCCAAAGCATTCACACACATGAAGTATACCAAATGCTTTCTAATTTCCAAAGTATTTTCATCCCCTGACATCATTTCATCCAAATGTGTTCATAATTCCTATTACATAATCAGAGCTCATTTCAAAAATTGGCACACAGAATCATATAGATCCTGTGTACTTTTCTAGGCATCACAGACTATGCCAAAGAAGTCCAAGAAGGTAGAGGAAAGCTGAAGGATAAGGCTAGAACTTCAGATGCAATAGGAAAAAAATCATTGAGGGAATTCAGTCTAGTGAGAAACACGGGTGTATAAAAAGGGTGGGATGCCTTTTATTCCCTAAGTTTTTACAGTTTATTAGTTCTCTTCTTAGAAATGTATCTCATCATAGCAATTAAGTCACCCCAAAATCTTTAGTTCTCTTGCTTTTTGCTAGTTCTGATGTTGGCCTTTTCAAGTTCCCTACTTCCATCCCTGACCTTTTTCAATATGGTCTTGTGTTCCTCTCACTGTTTTTTTTTTTTGTTTGTTTGTTTGTTTCTTCTTCTTCTCAAATAGACCATGACTTACAAGTCTGTGTTTGGAATCATAGATCATACCAAAGCCCGTTGTCTTGCCACAACCATAATGGGTTCTGAATCCAAATGCAACAATGGCATCTGGTATGTTCTTATGTCTTTTGGCTAACTGTAGCCAAATTTCTGTCTTCAGAGCTGTTGCTTCCCCAGAGTGAAGGGCATGCATGACCATTTGTTTCTTCTGAGGTACATGGTTGGTCATGAATTTCCTGGTCTTGTCAATTGTGTCATTCATGATGGTAGCTATCCTCAAGCAGCCAAGGCAGAAAGAAGTACCCCCCCCACACACAAAGACAGTTTTACAACTGTTCAGTACATGAACTGGAAGAGGTATAGAGAAGACATTAAAGGGAACATGAATGAGGCTTCCTGGGTGGAGCAATACCCGAGTGGAGTATTAAAGGATGTGTAGAAGATGGCTAGATACAGGAGAAGAGAGGGCATAGGAGTCAACAACAAAAACAGAGAGGATGGCGTAACTAAAGGCAAAGATAGACGTGAAGAAAGGCATAGTTCATCTCGGGAGCAGTCTTGGTGTGGCTGCAGCTTGTATTGTGAGGCTATTAATGACAAGAGATGAGACTTGGGGGTAGGGAGAGGTTAAAAAGCACATCAAATGATCTAATCTTGAGCCATCATAAATAATGCAGACTAATATTAAGAGCAGTGGGAAAACATAAGCAGTATGTGTATATATACACACAGGCAAGCATGTTTGCATGCTTCTATAACAGTTTGCAGAACAGAATGCTGACATCATTTTTTTTTTTTTAGGGCAAAGAGAGAACACTTTATTTAGTGAGGGCAAACATCATCCAGAAGACACCAGATGGGCAAGGTGCTGTGATAAGGGAGCCTAGGAGGGGCCGTATAGACATCTCACTCTGGGCAAGGCACCGGCTCGGGATATGGCAATGTCCTCAGCCATTCAGCACCATCCGGACAAGCTCTTCGTAGTTGAGACAACCGTTGCTATCCTCATGTCCAGCCACCAGCATCTCTACCTCTTCCTCTGTCATCTTCTCCCCCAGTGTGACGAGGACATGACGGATCTCTGCACCCATGACGGTACCGTTCCCTTCCTTGTCAAACATGCGAAGGCCTTCAACATAATCCTCGTAAGTCCCCTGGTTCTTGTTCTTGGCCACCGTCTGCAGCATGGGCAGGAAGTGCTCAAAATCCAGAACTTTCACGTTCATCTCATCACTCTGGGGTTTCCCCAGGACCTTGAGCACCTCGGCGTTGGTAGGGTTCTGGCCTAGTGCCCTCATCAGGTCCCCACACTGGCTGTACAAGATCTTGCCATCACCGGTTCCGTCAAACAACTGGAAAGCCTCCTTGAATTCTGCGGTCTGGTCTGGTCCTCGGTGAAGTCACACATCTCAGCCGCTCTGCTCTTCAGGACTTGCCCCGGCAGTAATGGCTCTGACTCCAGATCCAGCCCTAGCCTTAGTCCATCATATTCGTTTTATAGATGATGCTAATGACATCAAGGTTTTTTGGTAGAAGGTAGAGCCAAACTTGATACACTAGTCTGGCTGATGTTATGGGTTAAGCTCACAAACACCATGTTCTCTGACAATCCTGGAGTAGTATACTCCGAGTAACAGAAAACTGGATTTCTTCACATCTTGCTTGTACACCTTGCCACACTGATTTAAATGCCTATATTACTGCTGTGGGAGAAGCATTATAGTTTTACTTACATATTTAGGAAGTAGATTATATGAAGCTATTTAAATACTGTTAAAAGTTTCCAGTTAGCACATTGTATTAGCGAGTTAAGGGACCAAACTGTCAGTAAAGCCCAGAGATGAGTGCAAAGCTCAATCAGCAGTAGTTTAGACTATAGTATTCTATAAACTGTGTTGGCTCAAGCCATGGCTGTGCTTTTTATTAGTTGTATAATTATGAACATTACTAAAAATTTAAGTTAATCAATATGGAATATTTTTCCCTTTTTTGGTATTTCTTTTCTTCCAATAATGTCTTATAATTTTCAGTTTATAGGTCTTACATTTAATTTTTTAATTCTATTGGTTAGCATTTTATTAATTTTTGTACTGCTTTCTTTCAATTTTAATTTTGGATTATTTAGTGATACTGCATAGAAACTATCAAGAGATAAAATTTTAACAAATTTCATTAAAACATTTATTCATGATTCATAAATTGGGACAACCTGTATTCTATAAAATGAAATGAACAGCTCCGTTTGACAATAACAGAACAATGGGTTACATAAAAGAGGGAGAAGAAAATAAAACAAAAAGAGAAAAAAAGCTAATTGTTTACATCAAGTTACTTCCAGTTATTTTATTTTATTGTGGTCAAATATCAAAGTAGAGGGAATGTCTCATTATGAGGACTTAGGTAGACTGAATCTCCTGTTTTCCAAAATGCTCATCTACTTCGAGTATTATTTGGGTCCTTAAAGCATTGGTTTCATTATGTGACAGTCAGTGTAAGTGACTATTTTGTTTTGGTCTGGTCTGTTGAAGCCTAGTTTCTGAACTCAGTTCAAAACAAAGTCTCCCCCAAGGTTACTGTTTACTGATTTTTCATGTTGATATTGTACGTTGCAGTCATACCTGTCTCACTTATTAGAACTAATAGTTTTTGTTGTTCTTTATGCTTTAGGCTTTTCTCTAAACCATCCATGCCATCCATGAATGGAGTTTTAATTCTTCCTTTCTGAACTGTATGCAGCGTTGTTTTTCTTACCTAACTGAACTAACAACTATCTCCAGTAAAGTGATGAAGTAGTGAGAGTAAGTACATTTGTCTCAATTTAGATCTTAGGACAAAAGGCCTTTTACAGTTTTTCCATAGTTGGCTTTTATCTGATTCTCTTCTAGTTACACTTTTCACAGGTTTTGATCATGAAAGATTGTCGGATTTTATCAAGTACCTTTTCTGTGTCAATCAACATGATCTTATGCGTCTTACTCTTCCTTCCACTGCAACAGTACATTGATTGATTGTATGTTCAATTACCTTTATATTCCTGGGATACATTCCATTTGGTTAGGTG